TCTCTTGCATCAACTCACTTCCAAGAATAATATCAGAAGCATCCACGTGCAAAATAAAAGGTTAAGTGTAGTTAGGATATGCCAAAACTAGAGGAGTCGTCAATAGCTTTTTGATATTCACGAATGCCTGCTCACAATCCGGAGACCAGATGAAAGATGACGTTGATGACTTCATCAATGTTCATAATAGTGCAGTGCGATTAGAAAAATGATCCACAAAATGACCGAGATATTACACCTTGCCTAAGAAGCGTTACACATCATTTACACACTTCGAAGTAAGGAACTTTAGAACAGCCACAAGTTTGTCAGGATCAACTTGCAAACCCTCACAAGAAATACGGTACCCAAGATAAATTGTGTTCTTGGACCCAAACATGCACTTCAACCGCTTTAAACTAACGTCCTGTAACCAATCCAACACTTTACAAACATCATAAATATGCTCCTCTCACGTCCCCTCCGAGTGGATCAAGACATCATCAATAAAGTCAATAGTCACCTCTGGCATATCGCAAAGAACCTCGTCCATCATCTGTTAGAAAGTTGTTGGAGCATTGTTCAAACTAAACAGTATCACCAAAAACTTGTACAAACCAAACAGTGTACGAAAAGCAGTCTTAGGAATATCTTTTTCAGCCATCAGTACTTGCCAGTACCCAAAAGCAAGATTTAGCTTGGTGAACCAACAACTTCGCCCCAAACGATCTAAGAGATTAATAGTGTGAAGAAGAGGGTACATATCTGGGATCGTCACTTTATTTAATGGACGATAGTCAATGCAGAAAAGAATACTCCTATTAGGCTTCGTCACAAGATGAGGTTCACATGCCCAAGGACTCCGTGACTTCCAAATAACACCCTTCTCCAACATATCTCAGACGTTTGCATGTAAAATCTTGATCTTTTTGAGTGACCGACGACGAACAAGAACCTTGATTAGACGAGCATCCTTAGTTCGAATCGAATAACGTGTGGCAATCTTAGCCCCAGACAATAGTTCAAATTCAAAGAGATCAAAATACTCCCTCATGAGCCAGTCAACCACTACAACACAAAGATTGTTAGAGGGATCAAAAAAGGGAAGAGCAAAACAAGACGAAAAAATAGGAGGAAATAGTGGGGGCACAAAAGTAATTGAAGCAAAGGTAGAAACAAAGGGATAAAGAGGTATGAAAGTGAGAAGAATGAATGAAATATAAGAAAGTATAAGACAAGGGGGAGAAGCATCAAAATCACACTTGGCATGAATATGCTATAACTAATCCATACCAAGAGAGGTCAAAAGCTTGACTTGGCACTACCTGCAATGATTGCAATCCAAGCTCGAGATCACCCATACATACAACTAAGTCTGCCTCATTCTGTGCACACGCATGTGTACGGCCATTGCCATAAAGAATGAAAACTGATTTCATCGCACGACAGAAGTATAAATGGCAACGTGTGGCAACAAGTCGAGCAATAGAAGATAAACTCGAACCTATATCAACCAATACGGAGAGAATAATAGGAGACTGTTTGTTATAAAAACGAGTTTGGAAAGTAAACACTGGATAAACTGGTGTCAAGTGAACCCCTTGACGATATTCCCGAAAGAAAGATGGAGGGGTCATTGACTTATTTGCGCAAGATCCCTCCATTACTCGTGTGATTCCTCATTTCCCAGATGCATCTCAGTGTCCAGACTTTCCACTACAGTAGCACCAACAGGACATTGTTGACGCCAAGGTCTTCACCCAAGAAATGGTGGCTGCCAATCTGGAAAATGCTGACAACTATAATAAGTGTGACTAACTTTGCCCAATAACGAATATTATAGCCACGACCACAACCTTGCCCTTGTCCTTGGACTCGAACAGCAGCAGCATCAACCTTCATTGGAACAAGACCATCACCCACAAAAAGTGGAGCTGAAGGACATGCAGTGAGAAGTGGAAGAGGCAACATCCCATAACGTTGTGCCAAGTGAAGAGCATCGTCAAGGGTGGCAGAAACAAGTGCATGCACAAGTCCAACAAGATCTTAATAAAGTGTTAGCCACAACATTCCTAGCTTGATCCATTCCGACATATTTAGCTTTGCACAAAGTAAGAGGTTTTGGAAACAAATGCTAAATTGCATCATCGACTCAAATGGCCATTGACGAAGACAATGTAATTGTTGGAAGGCATCATTATAATCGTCGGCATGTCCGAATGCACATTTGAAGATGTCTGGGAGAACACTCCAATCCCCACGAGTGGTTGCGCTCAAACCATTGTAGCACTGCAACACTGTCTGGTGGAAACACATGGGAAACTCACATAAACATTGAGCATCATCACAAGAATAATATGTGGCAATCACCATGAAATGATCGAACCAATGGTACACATCATCCCCAAAATTCCTGCGAAAGAACTTTGGCTGAACGCAAAGATTGGCACCAAGAGCAGGAGGAGTTGTATCATGTGCTGTGAATGCCACCATCAACTAAGTTTAGTTGTTCAATGGCAATTGCATAGCATCAAGCAATTGTACCAACTACTGCTCCAGAGTCAAAGGAGGAGGAGATTGCTAACCTGCCATGAAGATGAATGAAAAGGAAAGAGCAAAAGAAGAGAAATGAAAAGAAAAAGCTAGAAAGAAAGGGAGATCTAAACAATGCAAAAAGCTAGATCTAAATCAAAATCCTAAAAGGAAAGAGCAAAAGAAAAGAAATGGAAAAAGCTAAATCTAGACAATGCAAAAGCTAGATTTAAAGCAAAATCCTAAATCCAAGCACTTCTCAAAGACAATCAAAGGTGCCCCTCACCTCCACCAATGTGAGTGCATGGAATATAGAAAGGGAATACAGAAAATATGCATATCAATTAGCCCAAAAACCCTAGTTTATATACAGGAGCGAGTAGTCTGGATTGAAACCAATCCGACAACTACCAAAATCCCACTACTTTAATATTAGTATACGGCATTATAACCGTACATTTGCACCTCACAAATTTTGTTTTGTTGTTTACACTATGGAAATACTTTTGGGAGAATCTTTAATTTGGTGTGATTGGAGTTTGGACTCCACATTTTGGTGCATTGCCCAAAAACAAAGAGTTAATGTGGGAAGAGTGAGCACAAAACAAGCCTGGCTAGAGTTGTCATGTCTTGGCATAGCATAGGGGAGATGTTGAAGCATTGGATCTCAATGTGGCTCTTCTCTCACAACAAAGATTCTCTCTCAGGGAAATGCATATATCCAAAATTGGTAGCTGGTGAACCTAAAAGAATTACCCAAAGAAAAATAAAAATAAAATGTTAATCTTCACCACACATATCTTTCTTTTGGAAAAGTGAGCTTCGACCATCATACTTGACACTTTGAGCAAGTTACCACCATCTTGAGTTAGAGAAATTAGTAGAGTAAAGTTATGAGAAAAATGCCTGTATAGAGGAGCCTCAAGCCTCACAAACGAAAGTGGCAGGGCAATCTTGAGAATGCAGGGAGTTACAAGCCCACTGCCAAAGAACACAAAGGTGACGGTGGTTCTTATGTTGACAAGACAGAAAGCAAGCAATCCAGAGCAAGTCCTCACGCTACATGAATCGGTGACACATGTCTTGTTGGAGCAGTTGATGTAGCCAGGATCATCGTTGAGGAACTTGAACTGTAAGAAATCAAAATCAATCAAATAGAGCACTGTCCTTCTACATAAATTCATTAATATCATGACATATTATTATTAGGCTACTTTACAAATTTATATAAGAGTGAAACTAATTTTAGAGATATTAAAAATATTTCTAGAAACTTTAATCTTGTAGAAATATCCTTATTAATAGTATTTTTCTTAATATAATTTTAAATTTTTTATTAAAATTAGGATTCTTAATAGTATAACAAATGTACAAATAAAAAGTTAAGAATGTTTATAGAATTTATATTTCTATGATGAAGATTAAATTTGAGCATAATCAATTGCTAGCATTCATTTTATATTGTTTATAAAAATTTGAATATTTATAATCTATATTCTATATGGGAGATTGTGGAGAACAGGAATGAATAGGATTTATTTATTTATTATATATCTTTTGATACTACATCCATTGTGTATTTGATATTTAATGTCCACAAGGCATAGCGCAAAATTTACCTTTTTTTGATGAGGTTCGTGAAGTTTAAAATGTTAAGCCATGGATGCCAAATTTTTGCAATAGATTTGAGAATCTTGCATCATTTGTAAAATCCCAGTTAGAGAACTTTTTGAGATGCACATTTTTGTATTTCATTTCTATATTCCATGCAATCACACCATCATATTTATATATATTTTTATAAGAATTTTATTTTGGTACCATACAGTATAAACAGGAAAAATATTAAATATATCTGTCAATTTTATTGCAAAATCAAGTGGTCATCTCTCTTGTCAGTCTATACAAGTGAGTCTTGAGCACCATGGAAGTCCAAGATGTAATACTGTGGGGTTTGCTCATTGCACAGTGGCATGACCACCCTGAACTACGCTGTCCAAAGTTTTGAGCATCCACGAGAGCTTACGGTCTTGACAAAGGCACAAGAGCCAGGGTGATTAGATGAAGATTTGCAAAAACAAAAGATTGCTGCTGGATCAAGGCTGGGGCTGCTGATCAATGGTCATAGGAGCAGCAATCTGCACTCCAAGTTAGACAATCACATACACACACACACACACACACCTGATTACATACCTGCCTCCTTCTGAGCATGATAGCCGTTCCTACTACACTGGCCACAACAGGAACAACAAATGTTGATACCAATCCACTAATCACACTGGTGATGGTGCTGGTGATGGTCCCCATCCCCTGCAGTGGTGGTGGTGGTGGTGCTGATGGCCGTGGTGACGACGGTGGCAACGGTCATGGTGGCTGTGGTGGTCATGGCACTAGCAGTGGCGGCAATCGTGTCTCCTCACCCTTAGCCATGGACGGCTCCTCAACCATTGGATTGCCCATAGCCTCCTAAACAAGCTAGTGAACCTCTACCAGGGTGGCAGCGGTGACAGCGGCGGGGCCGGGGGCGGAGGAGGCGGCTGCGACAGCTGCTGCTGCAAGGGTGGCATCGGTAGTGGTGGCATTGACAGTGGTGGGGCCGGGGACGGAGGAGGCGGCGGCAGCGATGGTTGCTGCTGCGGGGGCGGCATCAGTGGCGGTGACTGCTTCAACAGCTCTTGCACTTGCTGTTCTACCACTGTTAATTGCTGCTCAATGAGCGCCAAACGGTGGGATATGAAATCCTCACTTTGAAATAAAGGAGGAAACAGTAGCAGAAGAAACATAAGCTTTGCTAGATCCACTGCAATTAATAAGACTTTAACTCGATCCCTTTTGCAATGCTTTCGCCTCCTGTTGTTGGTGCTGCTGCCGCTGGTGGAATGCCCGGGTGCCGCAAGGAGTTCATGGCGTTTCAGCTGCTCCACACTTTCTCCAGCATCCACGACAGCCTCAACTAGAGCCCCAACAGCAATTGAATCATCTGTGCCTGCAAGGATTTTCAGGCTCCAGAGCAAGGCCAGTCATGCTCTCTGCGCACCGCAACGAGAGCATTGAGAGCGGGTCTGCACCTAGGGCTGTGTCACTGGGGGCTCAAAAGATTCCATCTCCCGTGCTTGGTGGTGGTGGCGATCATGGAAAGTCGAGGAAGACGTAGCTTCGCAAGGTATTTGCTTGGATCACTTGACTCCTCGGTTTCACACACTTACCAATAAGGAAGAATCCGATGGCCAGCAAACGGAGCTATGTCCGGATAAAGGGCAGTGGGAGCTCGTGAAGAAGCACTTGTTCCACTGGAAGGATCTCGTCATGCGACTCAACATCCTGGTTGCCGGGTTCTCGTCTGGAGTGTTTGGCATCTCCCAAGTCCCCAACTTTACGTGCATGCATACCGCAGTATTCAGCAGGAGCGGAAAACTACTTCGACGTCAACTGTGTTGCATATTCACCATATTCGTAGCTGATTGCCACCGGCACCGATGACAACAAAGTAAAGGTCTGGCTGTGATCACTCTCTTCTTGCGCCATCGCTTATGCCTTTCTCGTGTGTTGCAGTTGTGGAATGCTGCGTCTGAATCCTGTTTCGTCAGCATGAGCACACAAATGCAGTGACTGCAGTGTTGTTCTTGGCCGGAAGTAATGCTGTTCTCGATGGTACTGTACGTGCATGGGATCTGATGCGCTATCGAACCCTCACCACGCCCAGTTTGTGTCATTGGCTGCAGACCGAAGTGGAGAGATCATCTGTGCTGGAACACGCATTCCAGGTATCTTGTCGCTTTCTACTCGCTTTCCTTTTCTCGATTCATTTCAAGCTTTACTGCTCTTGCTAGATATACGTTTGGTCCATGAGAGCAGCGCGTCCTCAGTGGTCACGAGGGACCGGTTCATGGTTTGGCCTCTTCTCCTACAGGCGTCCGTACTCCTACACGACAATCCTTTCCACTTTCTAACACGTCTTGACAGGAGTTCTTGGCTTCCTCGTCACGGGACAAAACCGTGCGCCTGTGGATGTGTTTGAAGGTAAGGGCGGGATTGAAACCTTCACCCATACGCATGACGTGCTCACCGTGGTTTACCGCCCGGACGGAAAGAAACTGGGCTGCTCAACACTTGATGGTCAGATCCACTTCTGGGACCCGATTGACGGAGTGCTAATGGGCACGATAGAAGGCAGGCGTGACGTTGCAGGAGGGAGATTGATGAGCGATAGAAGAACGGCCGCTAACTCGAGCTCGGGCAAATGCTTACGACCATGTCTTACTCAGCCGACGGCAGCCTACTGCTTGCTGGAGGAACCAGCAAGTACATTTGCATGTACGATGCAGCAGACCAGGTATTTATCACGCACAAGCTCGCTTGACTTTCATGCTTGCGAGATATCGTCTGTGCAGGGTTTGCTACGAAGGCTTCAGATATCTCACAACTATTCGTTGGATGGTGTTCTGGACTTTCTAAACTCGAAGAGAATGACTGCAGCAGGTCCTATAGTTCTGATCGATGACTATTACAGGCCAGTGGCGATGATCAAGTTAGAGGCAAGTTGGCGCTGCGAGGCCAGTTATATGCACCAAGTGCGTCAGGATATCTCCAACTGGCAGCAGCGGCAACAACGGAAAGCCTACTCAATGGACAACCTTGTTTTTGATCCCACCGATCTCAATGTGGATGTCACACCGGAGGTGTGTTTATGAGCGCACTGGATGTGAAGCGTTTTGTGGCTTTTGTGTAGGCAATCAATGATGCGCTGGAAAGCAAGTGTTATTCATGAGCACTGATGCTGGCACTCCGGTTGAACGAGCCGCTGCTGATTCAGAAATGCGTGGAGGCCGTTGCGATCAGTGGTGTTGTCTGCAACGTTTCACTTTCGTACCTTGGAGATGCACTTGCGCAGTACCTGGAGAAGACACCTCATTTGGAGTTCTTACTGGTATGTGTCCAGTTAAAAGGAAACATGTACTAAGTTGGCTTTGCTACAGGAGCTTTGCATTGGCAGAACAATCCAGTCGAGGAACAGGGAGCTCATGTCCGCTATCAAGTCCCTATCTTGCAGCAACAACCGCCTCCAAAATGACTACCTTCTCCATTACCTGTGCTCGGCCCCAACTAACAAAGCTTGGACTTGTGTAATAACGGACGCGCTGCTCAGGCTTGAGAACTGAGGTGAAGTTATTTTTTCTTTTATTTGAATGTGAACCAAACAATTTTACGTAGGTGATCAGAACGGAGGTGGGATCGTTGCTGAGAGAACGGAGCTCCTCCGTGCCTTGGAAAAGGAATAACAACAGGAGTGAGCTTTACAGTAGTGCTGCTTTAATTTGCTCCTTGAGTGCTTGCCTGGCGGCAGGATCCCTAACACGAGCAAGACGAAGAGGAGATCAGAGCTAAACGGTAGACAAAGTTGAGATGTACGTCAACAGCACGGCTAGAGCCGGGCTGCTCAAGGCCGGGGGAGTAGCTGAGATAAGGACCCAGGCGCCGCCTCGAAGCTCGCCATTCCGGGGCACAAGACGCTGATAGGTGCGGAGGTGCTCGATGATGGTGGATCAGGCTTGTAAAACTCCCTTGAAGAAATCTCTTTGGCCACCCGAGAAGCCGGATGAAGTGCGGCCACCTGCGAGTCGAGCTGTCCAGGGTCAGTGGGGATCACTTGCATGGCCGTCTGCATCTCCACCGCGATGATCCCAACTGGTATCCCCCGAGCCGGGCACGTCACGTCCGAGCCCACCCCTCGAGCGTCTCGGCGACACTCATCCAAGCCCCGCCACCCTCGGAGTTGTATACTTCTGGGACCGTCCTGGGCCGGCGGGATGAAAGCCCGCCACCTTTGACGCGCTCAGCCAGTTGACAGTCCTTCGAGATTGCCGCTTTTCACGGTTTGATGGACCAGCAAATGTATGTGTATCCTTTTTGGTGCCACCAAAAAGGATTGCATCAAGATAAAATACTATTATTTTAGGGCTTTCGGGAAGGGTTTGGGTGGATCAATCTATGGTGCCTTACCACCGAGTGGCGCTCCTTGAACAGCGATTGGCAGTGGTGGAACAACAACTCCAAGAGCTATTGAAGCAATTGCCGCCGATGCCGCCACTGCAGCTGCCGCCTCCTCCTCTGCCTCTGCCGCTGCCGCCTCCGCTGCTGTCGACGCCACTGCAGCTGGTCCGGGAGTTTATGGCGGAGTTGGTCTCGCTGGTCCGGGAGTCTATGCATGAGGAGATGTGTCCACGATCGTTGGGTTCCATGGATGAGGAGCCATCCATGGTTGAAGAGAGCATGTTGGGTGAGAAGACACAATTGCCACCACTACCACCGTCCTCACCACAACCACCACCACCACCACCATCACCACCACAGGGGACAAAGAATAGCACAGGGACTAGGACCACCACCAGCACCATCACCAGCATTATAATTGGATTGGGATCATCGACTCTTCTTCATGTTATCATCAGCATCATAGTTGAATTGGGATCATCGAGTCTTCTTCCTATCATCACCAGCATCATAACTGGATTGGGATCATCAACTCTTCTTCGTGTTATTGCCCACATAGTAGGAACATTTATAGGAGCGTTTATGATATTAAAAGTATGTAATTAGGAGTGTAAGAACTTCTGTTTTTGTGAATCTTCACCTGGCTTATCGAGACTGTAAGCTCTCATGGATGCTCGAAACTTTAAGAACAACATGACGCTGCCGGGGCTCACACCACTTTTTGGTGGATCGCTCAAGAGCTTCAAGTGTCGAGAGTGCCTTGCAGTGCTGGTACCCTCCGTGGTATCGAACAAGCTTCCACCATGCTCACCCTGAGATGGCGGAACACACTGTGAGTGCCTTGATGATGGTCACCTCCCTTGGCCTCAGCCTTGAACAAAAGAAGCATGGCCCCTGATGCCCGGCTTGGGCATATTTGTCCATGCCACAGCTCCAAAATGTTATTTTGGAAGATAAGCATGAATATGCTCTAACCCAAAAAATGAGCCCTTCTGTGTGATCACATTTTGCAGCTCAATCAATCAACTAAGGGCTGTTCCCCAAATTCAAAACTCTCTTGTTGGTGCTAATGAATTTTTGGATGGCTATGACAAGGATTATTGGAATGAGGAAACTCCACATTTTATTATATTGCCTGATAACAAAGAATTAATGTGGAGAGGGAGAGATGACAAGCCAAGCTACTTTTCTGCTATCTTGTTGTGGTGTAAGAGATGTTGTGTTCAGGCACTGGGCTTAGCATGCTCCAAACATTCTCTCTCAAAGGGAATGAGTGGAGGTTACAGGGGATTTGTTGCCATTCTACTTTTCCAGGAAAGAAAATGACAAATATAATGCCTTAGCATATGCTGCCCAGTTAACAAAATACTTTTTTTACATTAAAAACTAAATTGGAATAGTAAATAGTGTATTTCACTTTGAAAGAAGAATTAGGTGAATACAAAAATCAATTTTTGTAAACTTGATAATATAAATATTTAGAACAAAATATATTCCTAGACATAAGTAAGATTAAATATCCAGTAATAAAAATAATAGGTACAAAATATTATTTTGAAATATGAATATATTTGGAAAAATACCCGGCCTAAAAAAAGTAAAAATGAAATTTCTATTATTAATAATATGTTATATGTAAATTATATTTTTAGTTGAGATAAGCGTATATAAAGATTTTATCAAACAGAAGAGAATAATTACTAAGAATAAGTATATTTCATTTTTATTAGCAAGACATTACTTAATTATGGTTTTTACTTAGAATATAAAACAATAAGTTTACATTAATATATTACTACCCAGATCCAGTCATGAAAATAATTACTAACAAATGTTTTTGTAAATATATATGCTATAGAAACTGTAATTCCATAGTATTATTACTAATAAACTATACTTATAATAGGAAAAAGAATTTAAAATACTACTGCTTAATCAAATACTGCATACATTGTTTTAGTTTTTTTTGATAATGAGTTAGATTGTTAATAGCTAAGGCTACATATAAATATATAATATGTACTTCTATTGTTGAAATTGTTTAATTTTCTTATATTAACACTTGAAGCTTTGATCATGATCCTACACATTCATAAAATTAAGTCAACCCACATTTACCATCTAATATATTCTAGTTTATTCTTATGAAATAAGATTATTCTAGAATACAGTTTTCTTATTATATTTCTGCTAAATTAAATTATAAAATTTAATTATGACCTAAAATATTCAAAGATTATAATAATTTATAAAATATAATAATTTTATAAATTTGATTAATTTATTAGTAAATAATTAAAAATAAAGCTGTTCACTT